GGCCTCGCCCCCCCCCCTCCTCCCCCCAACGCACCGGCGCACGAGCGGGTCTTCCAGATCTTGAGGAGCAGGATGATGATGGCCGCCAAGTGGGACAGGTCCCCGGTGAGGCGGAAGACGTTCATGGCGGTGGCGGAGCGGGACCGGGGGGGGAAGGCAGCGCCGGGGGAGCCGACCGAAGATGGCGAGAGCTCAGCGGGCACCGAGCGACGTGGCCCGGGGACGTGGCCAGAGACAGCCAGCGCGGGCGCGGGGCACGCCGGGAAAAGAGAGCGCGCGAGCAGCTGGGGGGGACGGCGACGCAGGCGAAGCCACGCCCCCCCCGCTTGGCCGCCCTCGCGGGGAGAAGGAGAAAAGGGAGAGCCGCGTGCGCAAGCGCATAACCGGCCTTCTTGGCTCCCTCAGCCCGCTTCTTTTCCCCGGGTTTCGTTCTCCGTGGGCTGTAGTGCGTCTGCGCGTAGCAAGTGTTAGCGAACCATTTTCGGGTTTTCTTGTTAAACCCCCCCCCCCCCAAAATCTCAAAGTGATTTTTTCTTTTTTAAAAAAAGGATGCATCCATTGTTATTCACTGTATTTTTTAATTTTAGCGTGTGCCTTTGTATTAATTTTAATTATTTGAATTTTGCGTGTGTGCATCTTTATTGTGATTTGACAGGACATTCCTGTTTACTCAGAAGTAAGTACCATTGAGCTCAGAAGTTAGTTGCACTAGGATTGCAGGCAGACAGTGTAACCCTAAAAGCACTTTCCTGGGAGTAAGCGCCATTGAATAGACTGTTAAGTCGTGCGCTTAACAAAGAAGTCGGAGAGTGATTCAGCAAGAATGCGGTTTATTCTTCAGCTCTGTTACTTCTCCGGACACGGTACAACGCTCGCCAGCCAGAACCCATCATTCGAACCCCACATACACTGGCTGCTCTATATTTAAACATTCCCGGCTAATGTAGCCACACCCACTGTACAATAAAGCAACCTATGAGGTTGAAGCAATAAGGACCAATCACAAGCGATCCCGCTCTGCACGGTGATTGGCAAACATATTCTGGGCTAGGGCTCCTATTGGTTACATTAGGATCCTAGCCCAGGGCGAAGCTTAACATGGCATCTCAATGGCACAGTTCACAAGGCAGTTATATACATCTCAATACATAACAAATCCCGCCCCCCTAAGCAAAAACACTATGTACAATCATAATCGCTTAGGTACATTGGCGCTCTGCGCGAGTACAGTCATATTCGCTTAGATAGGTGGGCACTCTGCGAATTCGCTGAGACCTCCGCGGCGTAGGAGGTTCAGGGCACCTCTGAATTGGGGGCACTCTGCTTGACTCACTCTCGAGTGGGTCAGGTACGCTACCATCCCTTGCAGCGGGTCCAAGAGTAGGGGTCTGCCCTCCCTCAGGGTCAGTACTGGGCTCGGCAGGCTCGGCAGTACTCACCTCCGGCAGAGGTATGGGATGGTCATCGGGGTCAGGTAACTCAGTTGGCTGCGAGGTGGGGCGGCCAGTCGCCCACCGCTGCCTCAACTGGTCCACATGTCGCCTCCATTTGCGCCCGTCCGCAAGCTGGACTAAATACATGCGGGAACCCACTACCTCAGTTACAGTGGCTGGAAGCCACGAATGTCCCCCAGCATAGTTCTTGGCGAACACAGTATCTCCGCACTCGTATGTGCGGACCTTATTGGGAACACTCTGCTGCTGGGGCCTCAAGTCGTTGAGGTCTGGATGCAGCCTATCCAGCAAAGACGCTAGGCGTCGCCCCATCAATAGCTCGGCCGGGCTGCGGCCTGTGGCAGAGCACGGCGTTACGTGTTGCCGTAGAAGGAATGACGCTAGTTTCACTCCCCAATCCCCGGATGTTAGCTTGGCAAGCGCATCCTTGGTCGTGCGGACCATTCGCTCTGCCTGCCCGTTCGATGCTGGGTGGAACGGGGCAGACGTAATTTGCCTGATGCCATTGTTAGCCAGGAATTGAGCAAACTCTTGCGACACGAACTGAGCGCCGTTATCGCTTACCAGGACATCAGGCAACCCATGCGTGGCAATTAAGCGGCGCAACACATTTATAACAGCAGTGGAAGTGGTGGTAGACATTGGCGCCACTTCCAACCATTTCGAAAAAGAATCCACTACAATCAAAAACATTTGACCCTGTACTGGGCCCGCCAAATCTATGTGCAGCCTCGACCAAGGCTTCCCCGCCGATTCCCATTTCTGTGGGAAGGCGGTTGGCGGTTCGGGTCTCGCCTGCTGGCATGGCGTACACCCCCGTACCCACTCTTCAATGTCAGCATCCATCCCAGGCCACCATACATATCCCCGGGCCAGAGCCTTCATATGCACCATGCCGGGATGGCCCTCGTGTAGTGATTTCAGCACTTTTTCGCGCCAGCGTTGCGGTACAATCACTCTGTTCCCCCACAGCAAACAGCCCTTTGATACCGACATTTCGCTTTCCCGCGTTTTGTACGGTTTGAACTCCGGCTCCAACGTTCCTGCCGGCCACCCCCTCCACACCCAGTTAATAACACGACTGAGCACAGAGTCTTTTGCTGTCGCAGCAGCAATGTCCTTAGCAGACACAGGTGCCTCCGGCAGTTCCTCGATAGCTAGAATGGAGCAAGTAGGAGCAGGGTCCAAGTCCTGGCCGGGCAGAGGGCAGCGGCTGAGCGCATCAGCGTGTCCAATGGCCTTACCCGGCCTGTGCTCCAGGTCGAACTCGTAGGCTGAGAGGAACAAAGCCCACCGCAACATGCGTGCGGACATAACATCAGGGAGTTGCCGGTCCTGGGCAAAAATCCCTAGCAGGGGCTTGTGGTCTGTCACCAGTATGAATCTCCGTCCAAACAAAAAGTCATGAAACTTCTTAACAGCGGAAACTAGCGCCAAAGCCTCTTTGTCAATCTGCGCGTAGTTTCTTTCCGCTGCTGTTAGCGACTTGGAATAAAAGGCGATAGGGGCTTCCCGCCCGTCGGGCATTACGTGGCTCAGCACAGCTCCCACCCCAAATGGGGACGCATCAGCAGCTAACACAAGCAGTTTGTCCTCATCATAATGTGTTAACACTGCATCAGACGACAACAATTTTTTCACCCCATCGAATGCCCGCTCATGCTCTGGACCCCACCTCCATTTTGTGTCTTTATGCAGCAGGTTGTGCAATGGGGCCGCAATCGACGCCTTGTGGGGCAAGAAGGCGTGATAAAAATTAAGGAGTCCTAGGAAGGACTGTAACTCCTTCTTCCCTTGTGGCCGTGGGGCATTCTGGATTGCGGAGACCTTATCGTTAGTAGGATGGACCCCAAACTCATCCACCCGGAACCCCAAGAACTCCACACTCGGGACTCCCACCAGGCACTTCGACTTTTTTACCTTCAGGCCCGCATCAGAAAAACGTTTGAGCACCTCCCGCACTCGGCACAGCAGCTCGTCATCAGATTTGCCCGCTATTAAGACATCGTCAAAATAGGGCACCGTGCCCGGCACCCCCCTCAACAACCCCTCCATGAGGCTCTGAAAAATCCCCGGCGCAACATTCACTCCGAATTGGAGTCGATTTACTCTAAACGCCCCCCTATGCGTTACGATGGTCTGGGCGTCAGCCGCCTCTTTGGTCACGGGGAGTTGTTGGTACGCTTGGGCCAGGTCGAGTTTGGCGAATACCTTCCCTCCTCCCAGTGATGCCAGTACGTGGCTAATGACTGGTACAGGGTACGAATGCTGCTGCAAGGCTTTGTTAATCGTGCACTTGTAGTCAGCGCAAATTCGTATTGACCCATCGGGTTTAATTGGAGTAACAATGGGGGTTTCCCATTTACTACAAGGAACTGGTTCCAACACCCCTTGTTCAAGTAGCTTATCGAGTTCAGCCTCGATCTTTGCCTTGAACGGAATGGGCACTTTCCTGTATTTTAGGCGTATAGGGCGTATAGCAGGATCCAACTCAAAAGACACTGGGGGACCATTATACTTTCCCAATCCGCCCCCAAACACTTCAGGAAATTCAGCATATAATACAGCCCATTTATTTTCCACAACGTTATTAACTCCCACAACAGCAATACCCAGAGGCTCAAACCAGTCCAACCCGAGCAGGTTGGTACGGTTTCCCTCAGCGATCAAACATGAAAGCACAGCACCTTTCCCTTTGAAATTAACTGTAAACGTATCCCTCCCCGCCAGAGGAATTCGATTTCCCTGAAAATC